GAATCCTTGCAAAGCACGAAAGCTTCAAATCTAGAATGTCAAATTTACCTTCGTTTAGCCTCTGCTGAGACCCCTTCCCGGTTCATGTCCAAGCTCAAGATCTTCCTCTCCCCTTCTGCTCACTATTGTCTCTCTGGAGAAGTATCTTCTATCCGAATGCGTCCACTCTGACCCATAGAATTGTACCCATCATCCCTGCTGTGACTTTACAAAAAAAAGATATATAACTCTTGAAACAATGCATGCGGGTACCTTCCTCGTATTTTTCACGTCGTTGTGAGATGCAAAAAAATATATATAACTCTTGAAACAATGCATGGGTACCTTCCTCGTATTTTTCACGTCGTTGTGAGATGCAAAAAAATATATATAACTCTTGAAACAATGCATGGGTACCTTCCTCGTATTTTTCACGTCGTTGTGAGATGCTGGAAGAATCACCCCCATCAACAAATACATACACACATGCATCTATAACACTGAATTGTTATTGTGCCTTACCCCCCCCCGACCCATCCACGTGTTGCCCCCCCGACGCAGCTGCTCGCGACCCGAGCAGACGCGGGCGACTGTTTTTTTGTGTGCGCGGCACAAGGAGCCCATTGACGCTTGCGCGAGGCTGCTCAAGACCACGTGGGCATCCGGAATCTATCTGCTCATGCGCCGTCGCCCAGCTGTCCGTGCCATTTCGTCTCCACAAACTCCCCCACCCTCCCCCCCCAGTGCCCAGGGCACCCCGGCCTCGCGTTATCCCCTTTCCTGTTACATCTCGAGCACACGGCCGCCTCCCCCTGCTCAGCTGCAGGTCTGGGGAGCGCAGCTGCTGCGTGCCAAGGTGCCTGCTGATTGCCGCGCGGCACACTGGCAGTGGACGTGGGGTTAAACACGAGCGCGTTGTGCGTGCGTGTCATGATCTCGTTGTCATGCCCCCATGTCACGGTTCGGAATGAGAGCGGTGCATCACGCATTGAATACAGGCAAGGGAGGCGAGGGCTGTGTGTAGAGCAAGTATGGTTGTTATTTTTTTTTTAATGAGAATGAGCACTTCTGCGTACACTTAGGCTGAACAAAAACACCGCAGATAACAAGTCGCCAAACATCCAAAGGCACAAGACCCTCATTGACAACAGTCTTGAGACTTTACGCGGCTTCGGTGGTTAAACAACAACCACAATAATGTAATTATACAATTTATATGAGCGATTTATTTTTAAATTAATTACCATTAATATCAGTTAAAGGGAGCGGACTGCTTCCGCGTATTTCCGTCAATCATAGCTAGCGTCACACTGCAAGGCGCGGTGAGCCACTTGGTTCACTGATGATGTACAAGCGGTTATTGCCTCTTAAGTGTTAAACACAAGAGACGTGGAAGCGATTGAGACTTTTCGGCTGGCCATACCACCCCGCCCCCCCCCTTACAGCCGAAATCAATCAACAATCGGCTGCACGTTTTGGAGACCCGCAATTCTAAAAATATTTTAAAATATATGTATTCTAACTCAAGGGTCAGCAACGAAAGAAAACAACAAACATAGGCATTATTCCGAATTCTGTGAAACAGCTCAATATTTTAAGAAATCGCAGCAAGGCAACGCGAATACGAGACGGGTGGTGGCTCTTAATACAATGACGGTCACGAAAAGCAGTCGCATGTTGCGACCCCCGTTCTAGCTCTAAGGACAGGACGACTTTGTTGTGTTGGTACCACGCGTTCAGCTTTCTAGCCCTTCTAGAACATCATTGGGGGGGGGGGGGGTTATATCTGTCGCAATCACGACTACATATATATTAGATCACGATGTTCTGTACCCAAGTAACTACATATAAGGGCATCGTCGCTCGTCCTAACCCGGACTCGAACCCAGGCTGGAAGGCATTGGAATGCCTTCGTCTCCATTTCTTGTGTGATCTTGCAAAAAGGGGGTGGGGGGGTGGGGAGGAGGGACGTGGGACGTGAACCGCGAACAGCTTTCTCAACCTCCCAGCAGGCGTCTTGAGCTTCAGAGCGCGCGCTTCCACACTGCCCATGAAAGGCGATATCGCGCTCGACACGTACGGAGAGGCAGCCACGGGCCAGCGCCGTCCAACAGGTGTCTCGGCAATCCCCACCAACAGCAACAAGAACAAGCAGCAGCAGCAGCATCAGCAGCCGGGGGCCCCCGCCTCCTCGCGCGCCCACCCGCACACAACACGAGGGCGCGCACATGGCAGGGAGGAGGAGGCGGAGGAGGAGGAGGCATCTGTCATGCCGCTTCACATCGCGATGGATGGAGAGGAGGAGGAGGAGGGGGTGGGGGATTGCTCCTGTTCACGGCCCCATTCCAAATTCCTAATTAATCCCGCGAAGTGAGTTTTTGTTGTTTACGGTGGGGTTTTTTTTGTTTCAAGGAGGGGACGTGGGGGGAGATTGAGCAATGCGGCGAGGGACCCCCCCCCCCCCCCACGACTGAGTATGCTTTGGGAGGGGGGGCTATGTATAAGGACATCAGATTTGGGGGTCGGGGGCTCGCTGCACGATGTGAGACTCACGGCCGCGGGTGTGCGACGCGAGCGAGGGGAGCGCTCGCTTCGAACCCCGGCTACAGATCAAAGCGATCCCCGAGTAGCCTCGCGCGCACTGCGAGGACAGGTGCTGTTAGCGAGCGGCCTGTGAAGACCGGCACGGCACACGAGGGGCGGCGTGGCCGTGATCCACGTCCGACCGCCTTTGTCTCCCCCAGATATGATCGTTTTTTTGAACACCGACTTATTTCAGGTCGTGTCGACCGAGGGAGTGGAGCCACACGCGCCACTCTCTCGCTCCTCCATGGAGAGTCCCCGTCTGCCCGGGGGGGGGGAGGGGGGGGGCTCGCTCACTCCAAGTGTCGCCACGTCCCCGAGTGCCGCCAACACCGAAAGGACGAAGCCTCGGACACTAAACACGAGACCCCCCCCCCCCCCCCCATGCCGTCTTTACGCGGCAGCCACACACACACACGCGCGCGCCTGCGTTGCCTCCTCCACCACCGCCGCCGAGCAATAGCCTCACCTTCCCGGCGTTGATCTGCAATTATATATAACTCAGACTTCCACATAAGGCCAGCGCGCTATTTTGGAATACAAAGTGCAAAGTGGGCCCTAAGTTTAGCCGGGCGGGCTGCGGGGGAGCCGCGCGGCCGCTCGCTCACACGTGCAAGAGCGCTCGGCCCCTCGGCCCTCTGTTGCCCCGGGGTCTTGGCACATTGTCCTTTATTTAACCAGGTGAGAGGCACACAAAGCGAGCCTCGTGAGACGCCTTATATGCTCTGGCAAGGCAGGTCTGAGAATAACGATGATGATGGTCTGCTCTTGAAAATGATGATGTCACGCAGTCCTTGAAGTTCACTTGACAGCAAAGCACGTACTCTGCTATTAAAATCTGAACGACGTCAACATTAATTGTCGGACTGCGGCGGGAGTCGAACCGCCAATTGTGTCCAGTGACTCAGAGGCCAGCGAGCTCGATGCGCAGTGGGACCCCTGCAGGTCTCCCTGTGGGCTACCCTGGCCATCCTCCAGCCACGACAGCAGCCGTGATGCCGCTATGAAGGGTGTTACGATGAATAACAGCTCCCGAATGTATGTGTGTATGTGTACATGTTTCCATTGCTATAGGTTGTACGTATGTTGGACTTCTTTCGCACCCTACGTAGCCAACCGCACTAATCGGAGGTGCGGGGGTTTCGCGTCATCCCTCCGCCGATGGTCGAGAATTATAACGGAGTGGCAGTCCGTGGAGAGAACGTTGCCCGTGAGGCCGTCCACTGTGAGAGATCGGGACGACTTGGGAGGCCTTCATCCAGCAGTGGACTGATCATGGCTAATGATGATAGGACATCATTTTGTTAATCATGATGACCCCCTCCGCCAACTGGAAATCGCCGCATTCACCACAATTATTAAAGAAAAACAAATCGATTATGTATCTTCAATCGGGAATCGCGACGAGATTCATTGTATCGCGAGGATGGGGGAGGGGTGCGAAACGTTAGTCCCGCTAGCTGCTTATCAGCCCCCCGGAGTGGTATCGGAGCTCTGCTCGCCGAATTAACAACGCACACTCCTGAATAGGTGGAAGTAAACAAGCGCGACAATTTCTGGCCACGGTTTTCATGAACGTAAATTTTGCGTGCGACCTTTGTAATAAGACGTCGCATTATCTTACAGCGTGTCTGTTCAACCCACCAGGGGCCACGAATACAACTGGAATTATCTCGCTATTGTTATCGCGCTGGCAGAATGAGCTATGCCATCCGTGCCCGTCATTCCATCTCCACGCAAGTTCACACGGCGCGGCGAGCGATGGCACCACGGCCAAAAGCGTGGCATTGACGCCACCCTGCACACGTTAATACCGCAGTGACATTCACAACGGCAGCTGCTTAGCCCAGGGGAGCCTCGCGAGTCTCAAGACGCCTTGTCAGGAGGGTCGCTACTCTATTGGGAGTTGTTTGACCGATTCCATTTTTGAATGAGTGGCTTCGTGTGGGTAAGGAATCGGGCAAAACCCCATTACGCATACGAGAGTGAGTGACGCTCAGCACTGCCACCTCAACCAAACCTCGCCGCCCCAATCCTACAAACCCTGGCAAGCCCTGGTGCTGGTCACCCGTCTAAATACTCACCATGGTTCAAATCCTGCTACGCTTACCGTGCCAGCAATGTCACTAATAATCACGAGTAGTAGTAATAATAATGACGATACACAAATGATAATTAACACGCTTTCAGTCGCACGCTGCGTGCCACTTTATTGCTATTCTCCATGAATTGAATGAGACCATTTTGGGTCAACAATCGCGCGACGCTAGCTCCCGCCGCGCGCTACTGCCGGGCAAAGCAGCGATCCCTCTCCCACCCCTCGGCTGTGCCCTTACAAGGCCGGGCGGTCAAATCCCCGACTCGAGAAGGCAGTGCGCTTCATTCGGCCAGGACCCATCCCGGCCACCGCCTCGCCATTAATGGGGCGCCCGGCGTGGTCGATGCCATATATGGAGAGGTTCTTATGCGACTCCATATGCAGAGCGGCGTGTGCGGAGGAGGAGGTACCGCTTGGGTATAAAAGGGAGCGCAGGGTTACCTCGGCCTCCAGTCCTACGCTCGAGGAACATAGCGAAGAATTTCAGCCTTGCACGGGTAAGCATCAGGACCACCTGGCATCAGCAGCAGCAAACAGCCAGGCAGAAGCGACTTGGATCTAACGCAGTGGCAAATGTCACGCAACGCAAGTTCAGTTCATGAGCCGTGGAAACTTTGCGCAGCCGTGTCTCGGGATGGGAGCGCTACAGAAGAGGGGAGCGAGTTGTGAAGAGATGTGAATAGGAGGGTGTTGTTATAGGAGGGTCAGAGACAAAGTTGTAATTATTTTGTAGTTAATATATCACTATGAGCCTCAACGATCTTAAGTAATGGTGACACGTGGCAATTGTGGCGGCAGGCAGTCAATTCTTAAGTTGGGAGAGAAAAAAACGCGATGCCTAAATATTGGACATTACAAGGGAGTGAATGGAAATATTTACAGACAACGGCATCGATAATTTTAAAGCGAAGATCATTTCTAAGGAGGTGTTAAGCAGCTTTATTCAATTGGAACTGTGCACCCAGGAGGACCTTACTATAGCAGTGATTGCATTTCCTTAAGAAGGCGAACTAACAAGAGCACAGTGGAAACAATACAAATCACGTTAGATTGAAAAACAAACTCTTAGTTGGAGTTCTTCAAAAGATTTAGTGGAAATTTTTAAAATGATAGCTTTAAAGTAAAATAACGTAGAAATATACGAGCATAAACTTACATCGAGAGCTCACATCAGTAAAGGGCAGTGTAGACAAACAGATTATATACTTTTAATTTGGCATGCGCTTCTTAGAGACAAAATCCAGATTTTGTTTTATTAGATCGGGGAAGTTTTAAATCCAAGTTGGTCGCCCTTCTCTGCGGTCAGTATCGGGGAATCAACCACGCAGATTTCAGTGATGTGAAATTCAAAGTGCTTGGGATGGGTGCTAGTTAATTCAAACAACACTGATAGTTCGAATAAGGAAGTGCGCATTTACGTGGATCTAACTAACTCGTGGGTTTAGGGAAATCACATCAGTTAAAACACAAAAAGCCAGGAAGTGAATAACAGAACATATTAATGGGATCTCAGTCAAGTAGCGAGCTTCAATTCCGGTTATTTGTCGATTTGGGCCATCGTTATCGACGGGGGCTAGTACAACGTTCTGAGAAGCAAGCGGGATATGCCCTATGAATAGACCGACCTGCGCCATGAGAATGAAGGATTTCTACCTCTCCCAACGAATGCGAACACCTGCGGATCTCTCGCCGAGGGGGGGTCGTCGATGGGGACACAGCAGCACCGAGCCGCAATAACGCGAACCGCTCTCTCGCTCTCCCCACCACCCTCTACCCCCCCTGCAGCGAATTGAAGGAAACAAGAAACACAAGCAACCATGTGTGACGACGAGGAGACCACCGCGCTCGTGTGCGACAATGGCTCGGGGCTGTGCAAGGCTGGCTTCGCCGGAGACGACGCCCCACGCGCCGTCTTCCCCTCCATCGTAGGGCGACCCCGCCACCAGGTAAGGGGTGCCCCCACCCCCACACCCCACTCCCCCCCCCCCCACTACTCCTCTCCATACACCCTCTACCCCCCACACACACACCTGTCACTCAGACGTGCGTAGGAGGAAGAACCCACGCACTTCGGCATGCGGCGGCGGGGGGGCATTAGGGGACAACGATTGATTTGGTTTCGCCGGATGTGTTTTTTGAGAAAGCGACCAATTGGGGGAATTCGCCAAGGCCCGAGGGGGCTTTAAATTCGTGCGTTGGCTTGAAGTGAAGTGCTTGCGAAAGTTGGGCGGACACGTGGGGCAAACTCTGCGAAAGTCAGCTAAATTGGCGGGTGTCTGACGAGTCTACGGAAAATTCAGTTTCCGCTAACAAACGGATGAGGTCGTAGAAGTCGGAAGAAGCTGGCAGCAGCGAGGCGATGTGGTTTCAGAGTTACATTAAAATCACCACCTAAAGCGGCGGACAATTTGTCCATCAACTATTCACACGCGCGCGCTCAAACACACACACGCCGATTCAGGGTCTACGAGCGATTAGGCACGAGCCAAAAGCTTACCCGTAATTGCACGTGCGCGCATTCTTGAACGCCAACGCCGTTTCAACTCTTCTGACCCCGTGAATTAGCACAGTGGGCGTTCTGCTGTTACTCCGGCGCGGCTCCGTTGACGCCCGTGTGCAGAATCTCACATTTCAACCCGAAGAAAAATGTGAAATCGCTCACGTGCCTAGGGAGTTTCGGGCCCTAATAAGGACGGGGTGAAAGGGGGTCACTAAATTTAGCCGCGGGTTCCACCTCCGTGGATCGGCCTGTCCCTCCAGCACGCACTGTAGCCCGAGAATAGACTCGACGCCTGGGCAGCCTGGATCTTAGAATGGCGACTGCTGACTACGCAGCCACTCTCACTCGACGGCAATCCGACACCCAGCCCAGCAGCCGCGTTGCAATGGCATTCACTTATACAGCAAACGCCACACGGGTCGTGATCGAGAGAAGGTGTCCTGCGTTTAGAAAAAAACAGGCTGTTTCGTCAATTTCGTTTTTTGTATGAATATTTTGCGCATAACGTGGAAACCGGAATTCCCGGAGAAACCCCACCACGCAGACGCGAGGAGATATCGGTCAAGGACCCACTTGCTGGTTTCACCATCTCCCAGCAATGCGACTCGTAGAAGTCGAGAAGGTTTTGGAGTTTCACAAATCCCAGCGTGACCCACCAACCCCGATCCGCCAAGGCGCCGGACCACACGCGTTGGTGTTCGCGACACCGACACTGAGACGAGGCACGTCCTGACGCGCCACGCGCTCGCCTCGCCACTAATCACGCGCGTCCTCCGCGTGTCTGTGCCCCAACAGGGAGTCATGGTGGGTATGGGTCAGAAGGACTCGTACGTAGGCGACGAGGCGCAGAGCAAGCGCGGTATCCTCACCCTCAAGTACCCCATCGAGCACGGCATCATCACCAACTGGGACGACATGGAGAAGATCTGGCACCACACCTTCTACAACGAGCTGCGCGTGGCCCCCGAGGAGCACCCCACCCTGCTCACAGAGGCCCCCCTCAACCCCAAGGCCAATCGTGAAAAGATGACCCAGATCATGTTTGAGACCTTCAACGTGCCCGCCATGTACGTGGCCATCCAGGCCGTGCTGTCCCTGTACGCTTCCGGCCGTACCACCGGTGAGATCACGTGAAACACACTGACTTCTACATTCACACACCCACACTCGCAACATAGATGCCCCACGTCTTTCAGTATAACGGCAAAGATCCCACGTACAGTATTTCAGTATCATAGACTGTTGGGGCAAAGTGCTGTGAGCGAGCACCTGCTACGGCTCAGGGGCGGGATTCGTTCGCCCGGACGTCTTCGTCTCCCCGGTCCTGATTTTCACATCACTGAACCTGGGCACTCGTTTTTAAGGCCGCGCCGACCTCGGTGATGCTCAGCCTAGATTGCTTCAGGGATCGCTTGCCACTCAGGAAAATCGAGACCCAGGGCTGGAACCCTAAAAGTCGGGCTTGTAGCGCATTGCGTGAAAGCACTGCGCCACCGAAACAAAGACAAAGATGTCCCACGTAGCCTTCACTGGACTCTTGCAGCAAGTGCTGTTGGCGAGCACCTATAGAGGGCCGGCATGGCGCACGAGGTGGGGGTGGAGGAGGGGGCTGGGGGGGGGGGGTATTGCGGCAACTCACTGACGCGCAGCCTGCGGCACGAGCCCTGCACGCGCACAACGCGACTCGGGACTGACCGCTCGTGACCCCTTCCCGCCCGCAGGCATCGTGCTGGACTCCGGTGACGGTGTAACCCACAACGTGCCCATCTACGAGGGTTACGCGCTGCCCCACGCCATCATGCGCCTTGACCTGGCCGGTCGCGACCTCACCGACTACCTGATGAAGATCCTCACAGAGCGTGGCTACTCTTTCGTGACCACAGGTGAGCCGCTCGTCGTCGTCGTCGTCAGAACTCCCCCGCAGAACACGCGACCATTTTTCGGGGTGTTCGACTCCCCGGCTCGGGAGAGACCGCCGTTGCGAGTCGCCTAACCGCGGAGTTGTGCGCGCGCGTTCCCCCCCCGCAGCCGAGCGTGAGATCGTGCGTGACATCAAGGAGAAGCTTTGCTACGTGGCTCTGGACTTCGAGAACGAGATGGCGACCGCCGCCACCTCCTCCTCTCTGGAGAAGAGCTACGAGCTTCCCGACGGCCAGGTCATCACCATCGGCAACGAGCGCTTCCGCTGCCCCGAGACGCTCTTCCAGCCCTCATTCATCGGTGAGTGCGACGGGATCGTGGCACCCGCAGGACCACGACGTGCGGAGGCGTTTCGCGCAGCAGCGGATGGAAAGACGAAGGCTCGGGAGTGACGACGTTCAATAAACTCGCTTTCCCACCCGTCTCACAGGCATGGAGTCCGCGGGTATCCATGAGACCACCTACAACTCCATCATGAAGTGCGACATCGACATCCGCAAGGACCTGTACGCCAACAACGTGCTGTCCGGTGGCACCACCATGTACCCGGGTATCGCTGACCGCATGCAGAAGGAGATCACCGCCCTGGCGCCCAGCACCATGAAGATCAAGGTGAGTCTGAGGCCACCCACGCGACAAATGTCTACGACGCATCGGTCAGCTCACGCGCGCACGTTCGTGACGAGCTGCACAAAAAAATATACAAAAGTGTTCCGAGTCGCAGGGTTAAGATTCGCAGACATCTGAATGCAATGCTGCACTGCCATCTGTTGGATGCGCACGGCTTCTTCTCGTCAATGACCGCCTTTTCTCTTTCATCCTCCTCCTCCTCCTCCCCGTGTTCCCGTGACAGATCATCGCTCCTCCCGAGCGCAAGTACTCCGTCTGGATCGGAGGCTCCATCCTGGCGTCGCTGTCCACCTTCCAGCAGATGTGGATCACCAAGCAGGAGTACGACGAGGCAGGGCCCTCCATCGTCCACCGCAAGTGCTTCTAAAAGTATCGGTGGCCCAACGAGAACCCACGTGTGGACCCTCATGGTCCGCGGATCCAAGAGCGGGGAGAAATGCATGTTGACAAGCTACAGAATTTTGATGAGCCCTCTGTGCCCCCCCCCTCCCCTCCGTGCCCCCCCCCCCCCACAACCAATCCCACACATAACATCATCTCGGCGTCCAAAGCATTCATCGCATCTCGTCTCAAACCAGCGTCCCAACGTGACTGTTACCTGTAAAGTTTCGCTTTTATTTTGTGTGCTATTTATAAATGTGTACAGCTCTGTGTTTTGAGTAAAGTTCCCGACTTACATGTTTCACCGCAAGCCTCTTGTCGTGTCTGTGTGCTCGGGATGCTGTTGCGCTTTGTGTGACGCGCAGCAGCACAGCCACCATAGCTGTCCACAGATATTGGGAGGCGATCATTTGCAATCGGCTGTCGCCAACCGATCAGTCCCGTTCGTCAAAATGAGCATCGTAGTGAATTCATATACTGTAGATATTGATACAGACGAATCCTGATTTTATTTTATTGGACCGAAAATGACCCCAATAAAGGTCAGCGGGGGGCAATGGCATTGGTTGGTCGACATGAGCCACCCGTGAAGAGATAACGCGCTTGCTCGAGGGACTCGCAGAGGGTCAACATCTTGAAACATTACACAGCGGTAACGGCGATAACCCCACGGGACTTCCAAATGACTTTCCATCGACCTCATCACGGCGTGTTCGCCGTACTTTATGCGAGGCGTCGTCACTGCCACAACATCACGAGAGGGCATCTTAAAAGTCACTTTATTGTCGATATTAACAAATCTTCAAACGTGTGTGGTAGCCGGCCCCTCCACCCGCCGCCCCCTCTCGGCACACACAATCTTGGTTTATAGCTACAAGTGTTGTGGGTTTACTCTTCAACACACCGGTGTGCTGAATTAGTAACTAATTGGCAAGTTGTGTTTACGTGACAAACCTTACTAATTGAATGTATCGGGTGGTGGTGGGTTTAACGACACATTTCATTTTACTCGATCTAACCCAAAAACAAACCTTTATTATGGATAATATTGGTCGTGAAAGCCTCCCACGTGTTCAACTACAAGGGAGGAGCTGGCTGTTCTTTGTCTGGCCGCATCCTTAATGCGTTGCACCATGCAGGCAGCCTAGCCATGAGGCATTTAAAATACAGGTCGTGGTCACAGCTGGATCCCACTGCACCTGCTGGACCACACCTTACCACCCACCCGTCTTCGTCGAGAAAACATCGTCTTGTAACCGACAACGCATTCGAATATTTAACCTCTATCCCACACTTGGCTGTGGCCCATCTTACACAGGCTGCTGTGATAACGCCGTCAGCCCAGTGAGCGTGCCGATGTTGGGGCAATGTGGCCGGTTTCCTGTGGCCCAGTCTTTCGTGTGTAACGGGACGTTTTTGGCACGCACGTTTTTTTTAACTCTTCTCAACAAGATAACGTTTCGGGTGAATGGGCCTCTTTCAGAGGAGGGAGTGGACAAGTTGCAGGTGCCACATGCGGACCTAGGCAGGCAGGACGGGATATCGGGTCAAAACGCCATGCGTCCAGTCGCGTCACTCATTCGCAAACGACAAGTTCCTCATCCAACATCATCCTTCCCGCTCGCAAATTGATTCATCGGGCTGTTTATCGCTTCGCCTGGGGAATAATGTGTCCGTCTAAACGAGGGCATTTCTCGTGTTTTAACGAGAAAACCAAAACCACTTGCATTAATTTCCACAACAGCTCACCGCACTGCTCAACAACACAAACGGCACACAAGTGTGTAGCTTTGTGTTAACATTGGCAACGAAATGCTTTACCAGAAAAAAGTTCATTAATGGAAAACGGACAGAAAAAACCCCCACAATACATCTGCCATGGTTTCTGTATCGGCTCTCCACCAGGGACGTGCGGTCAGGGGAGGCAGGGGAGGCAGAGCCTCACCTGTCATACGCCAATGAAAATAGCTGTTACGAAAAAAAAAGAATAATCAAATAAAATAAATATCAAGATTTTCCCACTGATCTGTGTTATTAATGTAATTTCTGTATGATTCCAATCATTTTTATAGTCAAAATCGGCAAATTTGCAGAGCTCTGCTGCAAATACAGGAAGAGACGAGAGGTGAGGCAGCGACGAGCTCAGCCTCCCCTCTGATTGCGCAACCCCTCAGTAACTGGATGGAGCGCGGGCAATAAGCGCGTGCCTGTTACTATCTCAGTATGTCACCAATGTAATGTTTGTAGACCCCTTCATTTCAAGTCCTCGCCTTCCATACTCCAGGTAACTTATTTCACGTACGTGTATCAAGATGTTTAGGCTCGCTTGTCTCGTCATGAAACTGCAATGAAAAAGCACCAGGGGAGGCAGCTATCACATCTGCCTCACTGAGGGGGACGTGTCTAACACGCCCCCCTCAGTGAGGACACGCCCCCTCAGTGAGGACACGCCCCCTCAGTGAGGCCACGCCCCCTCAGTGAGGCCACGCCCCCTCAGTGAGGACACGCCCCCTCAGTGAGGCCACGCCCCCTCAGTGAGACCACGCCTCCCTCAGTGAGGACACGCCCCCTCTGTGAGGCCACGCCCCCTCAGTGAGACCACGCCCCCTCTGTGAGGACACGCCCCCTCTGTGAGGACACGCCCCCTCTGTGAGGACACGCCCCCCAGTGAGACCACGCCCCTCAACGAGGACACGCCCCCTCAGTGAGGCCACGCCCCCCTCCGTGTGTGAATCTGGCTCTGATACTAGCCAGTGCCTCCCCAGCCATTGACCTCACCGCACGTCACTGCTCTCCACACGTGCGCTTGGCCATCGGACGTTATTCATGGAGTTGAGAATAATGGGGAATGTAACGTTTCAAAACCACGCAACGGGAGAGGGGAGGAGCGCTCTTTGGTACGTCACACGTGGAGGCGTAAACCGCGGGCGGCAGGAATGAAGCGCCACGCGCACGGATCTGCAAAGACGAAATCTTTTAGCGCCGGTTTATTGTTCTGTCGCCAGGTTTTAGCCAACCCCGAGCAGTGCCGGACTAAGATAGCGCGGGGCCTGTAGCATCATGTTATAAAGGGGACCTAATTTTTTTTTTAAACACGTAAATATAAAAACAAATATATTTTAACTTGCATAGTAAAGTAACTGTATTTTTTTTATTTGCTATACAGCCAGATAATACGACAAATCGCTAACCTTAAACACCGAGTCGTTCATAAAAGTTGAAGGCGGTATAGCACTATAGTAACAGGGCAAGTGCAGAATCACTGAACCGGAATTGATAGCTTGAAAGCATTTAGCGCGGGGCCCTTGAAAGTGCGGGGCCCGTAGCATATGTAGCTACTTGTGCTATTCAGACAACCCGGCACTGACCCCGAGGAGTACATGCATTCGTCCCGTTTTCTGCGGAGTAAGTCCCTCTACTCAGAGCTACGCGACTTTATAATGCAATTTCGTTAACATTGGATCACCTCTACGAAACTACACGCCAACTCTGCTGACGCGCTCTCGTCGTGACCAGCAGACCACCAGCATTGCCATTATCACCTTTAAAATATTGCTGCCATACCCAAGAATATTATCTTCACGAGAATGATCGTGCCCCATCCCACTGTTGACACAGACAGACGGGAGAGCCAATCCATAGACGGCGGGTCTCGTTGCTCCATCTCTACACGAGACGTGCTCCCGGGCGCGTTGTCGCCTTAGCTGGCACTTTGCGTCTTTATTCGCGACTTACCGCTCAGGATCCCCTTCCGTGAGGTGTTGTATAAATTAATTAAAACTAGAAACGTTTTTATTTTATTTTACCAGGTAAGGCCCACTTGAACTATCGAGTTTTTGTTCAAAAGCGATCTGCCATCACAAATTATAGCTCAACGAAGTGCCTTATCATGTGGACATTAATCGCAGCCAAATAATCTGAACGCACCTTTCTAAATATGCAAACTCCAAATAAACAGGCGTCAGTGTTGGGGTCGAACCCAGGAACCTCCTGTATACGAGACGAGGTAGTTAAGATCTCGCCACTGTTGGCATCGAGTCAGAAAGGTGTCAGTCACCTGCGTTAGTTCTCGAGTCCGTGCGACGCTCGTTCCGCCCCTCCGTACTAATTCGCGTGCTCTCGCTTCTTGCTCAGTTTTCTTCGTGAATGTCCAAAACGCGTCGCTAGGAGGCAGCGCACACGGATTAAACCGCTTTAATACCGCGCGCTGATGCCTCTGTTGCGATGGGATGTCTCGTCGTTCTCAGATTGAACTGATGAAAGAACTGTCTTTAAACGCGCGGGTGTATTGCTTCTCATCGTCCGCCTCCCCCGAGGACACATGCAACTTTCGAGCCAACGTTAGACCAAACTTTGGTTCAACGTCGATTTAATTTGATGTTTCGTGACACGCCAAACGAGATTGCGCCCCACGGCGTGCGTGAGACGAATTCAACTACCACCCGGCAGAGGGCGATGCCGGACCGCAAATGGCACACGTGGGTGAACGGTGAGCTCCTCCGGCAGGCTGCGTTGGATTATGTCATGGAGCCCGCATGCCCAGTCATCGCATGCCTAAACAGCTTTCGTTCGGCCAGATATAGGGGGCTTAACGGGTGCGGCACGGGCTACAGAAGAGATGGAGTGATGTGGTACAAGAGGATGTGGAGGTGAGTGGACTTGCCGATGACTGGTACCAGCCGTGTCAAGATCGGCCTCTGTGGAGGAGGCTCGTGAAGGACGCTACTGGGCAGTTGGAGGCAGTCGCCCTCCAACAACAACGGAGGGCGGAGGAGCGCCGCTCACAACAACGAGCGGAGCGCCGGGTGGCTAAAGCACAGCAAGTTGGCACAATAGGGGGCACAGGTGGTGCATCAGCCACTCATCTCAGTCAGTCGACCCGTAGCACCTGGGTCTGCCCCGTGACCTCCTGCCGGCGGGCGTTCGACCCTTCGCGGGTCCTCAACGTGCACATAGCCTGGCACAAGCGACGTGGTGACGTCACCGCCACTTAGTGGCGAATGGCGGTTGTTGGTGCAGATCTAGTCCGAGAAGTGAAGTCGTGCGAATCGAGGAACACGGTCGCCTTCCCAGTCGTCACGACCCCAACAAACGTCCCTCGTCATCGCTTGAAGTCACGTAACAACCCTTTGCACTCGTGAGATTAACCGTAATCAATGTGTTTCAACCCCCCCACCCCCTCCCCCGATGAAGCCTGGAGAACCGAATGGAGTTCAATAGAGGTCACCGACAAACACCTCGTTGTGAGAGACCCAACGCAAAAGATGCCTGGGTTTGATCTTCCACGAAGCTCATGGTCCACGT